CTTGTATTGTCCCACACCAATAAAAATATATTTTTATTTCACCATATAGTTGAAGTGACTTTATTTAAATATTTCATGTAAGTGGTTTGATTCTGTATTGTATATTAAACATTTTTTTTTTTTTTGGGGGGGGGGGGGTTTTATATACAGTTGTGTTCAAAATAATAGCAGTCAGACATCACTAACCTGATCAATCACTGTTTTTGGTAGAGATTATATTTCTACATGGCAAATAATTTACTAGCAGGTGTAGTGGAGTAATAGAAATCCAACAGACCCAACAGTCATGACATGCATGCTGCTGATTCTGTGTATTTGAATCACTAATTGAAAGGGGCATGTTCAAAATAATAGCAGTGTGAAGTTCTATTAGTGAGGTCATTCATTCTTTGAAAAACAGGTGGCAATTATTGCCCTTACTTAAGGAAGGAAGGCAGCAAATGTTGTACATGCTGGTTACAGTGCATTTCTCTCTGAAATTCTGAGGAAAATGGGTCGTTCCAGACATTGTTCAGAAGAACAGCGTACCTTGATTAAAAAGTTGATTGGAGAGGGGAAAACATATAAAGAAGTGCAGAAAATGATAGGCTGCTCAGCTAAAATGATCGCAAATGCTTTAAAATGGCAACCAAAACCTGAAAGACGTGGAAGAAAGCGAAAAACTACCATTCGAATAGATAGAAGAATAGCCAAAATGGCAAGGACTCAGCCAACAATCAGCTCCAGGAAGATCAAAGAAGGTCTAAAGTTACCTGTGAGTACTGTTACAATTAGAAGACGCCTATGTGAAGCCAAGCTATCTGCAAGAAGCCCCCGCAAAGTCCCACTGTTGAAAAAAAGACATGCTGAAGAGGTTACAATTTGCCAAAGAGCACATTGACTGTCCTAAAGAGAAATGGCGCAAGAGGTCATGCTGCCTTATGCTGAAGAGGAAATGCCCTTGAAATGGGTGTTCCAACAAGACAATGACCCCAAACACACCAGTAAACGTGCACCATCTTGGTTCCAGATCAACAACATTGACATTATGGAGTGGCCAGCCCAATCCCCGGATCTTAATCCAATAGAAAACTTGTGGGGTGACATCAAAAATGCAGTTTCTGAGGCAAAACCAAGAAATAGAGAAGAACTGTGGAATGCAGTCCAATCATCCTGGGCTGGAATACCTGTTCACAGGTGCCAGAAGTTGGTTGACTCCATACAACACAGATGTACAGCAGTTCTCAGAAACAGTGCTTATACAACTAAATATTAAGTGATTCAAAGGAAAGCAAAATCTTCAAACATTTTTCAGTTTATATAGTGAATGTTTCAGTTTGTAAAGAAGAATACAAACACTGCTATTTTTTTGAACAGTCTAATATTCACTTTTCTTCAATTTTTTTAGAGGAACAACACAAATTTGATATATTTTTCTTCATGTTTTGATTTGGAATAGAATGTGTAGTGTTCCCAATGCATTTGTGTGTATGGATATAAAAGCTATTAGAAGGATTTTGAGCTTTATTCACGTTTTTCAACACACTGCTATTATTTTGAACACAACTGTATATAGTCAAGTAACAGTATTAATTTTTTTTAATTTCGTATTTATATGAATTTTGACAACTACATACTGTATGTCAAGTAGCATTCACTTTTAGCATTTTGGTTTTTCTTTAGAACCTTCATTTACTGCTGCTACCTCTTGATTTATGCTGTCACCAATGGGTTCATACTTAGAAGGACTAATCTGATTCCTTCTGACTTTCTGTCAAGACAGATTAGTAGTTTCATAGTTTTGGGGAATCTGTACAGGTAGTGGGTTAAAACCAGATGAGTACAGGTCCTGAGACAGAGTAGGCACCATGATTTCAGAGATCCGGTCTAGATTTTATCTAATTACACACAAGTAGGATGAAATACTTTGGTACAGTATTAGGTAAACTTTGAACTGCATGAGTAGAAGCATGATCTGTTTTACTGTGTTGTTATATGCATGCATTCAGTATATTTAAGGTGCTCTGTTGTGTATTCTTTTGTCATTCAGTTTTCACCAGGTGATGTTGATATTGTGATATTATTCAGACTGAAAATAAACGCAGTATAATGGTTGGTTTTAGTTTCTACTAAACTGAAAGTGTAACTATTAAAAATAAAAAATGACAAATAGAATTCTATAAGCAGAATTACCACAGCATTTTTGTATATTTGAGTCCTCCCAAAACAAACATTGTATTTATTACCTGTTGATCAAAGAAGTTAGAACAAACCATTTACAATAATGGGTGCTTACAAGGTTCAGCCTTTATTCATATAGTTTAAATCTTTTTTCCCAAAAAAAACAAAACCAGTTGCTGTTACTGCTAAAAAATGTTAGCTGGAGTTGGGGCTTTAATTTGTTTGTCCCTTACTTAAGTTGAACTCTAAGCAAACAGGTAAGTACTCAGATGATATATGCATGGAGACAGCTGTTTTTTCTCTGCTGCAGATCCTTTTTACTTACAGGTCTCCACCATTTTTATCCTGTGCCTGAACAATGAAAGGATGAGCAGTACATTTACAATCATGGCCAAAAATATTGGCACCCCTGCATTTCTGATAATGCACCACTTAGCCCAGAAAATTGTTACAATTACAAATGCTTAGGCATTCTCATGTTTATTTATTTTTGTCTTTATTGGTATGACACAAAAAAAGTGGAGAAACAAAAAGCCATATCTAACAAATTCCATGTAATCCCCAAACATGGACTGGACAAAATTGTTGGCACCTTCTCAAAATTGTAAAAAAAACAATTTAATTTCAAGTTTGTGATGCTCCTGTAATTTGTAGTCAAACGCCCCTATATCAATTAACAGGTGCTGACAATATAGAAATCCCACCGGCAACTACTTAAAATGGTGAAAAATTGACTCCACCTTTCTGTTGTGTGTCTCTGTGTTCCACAAGGAACACGGAGAAGAGAAAGAGCAGCAAATAATTGTCTGAGGATTTGAGAACAGAAATTGTGGAAAAGCATGGACAATCTCAAGTTTACATGTCCATCTTCAGAGATCTTAATGTTCCTGTGTCCACTGTGTGCAACATTGTCAAGAAGTTTACAGCCCATGGCGCTGTAGCTAATCTCCCTGGATGTGGACGAAAGAGAAAAATTTGATCAAAGATTGCAATGAAGGATTGTTCAAATGGTGGCTAAAGAACCTCTATCAACTTCCAGACAAATTTAAGCTGACCTTCAGGTACAGGCAGGGTACAACTGTCAGCTCGCACTATACGTAACAATCTGAATGAAAAGGGACGCTATTGTAGGAGACCCAGGAGGACCCCACTGCTGACACAGAAACAAAAAAGCAAGGCTGGAGTTTGCTAAGCTTACCTGAGGAAGCCAAAATCCTATTGGAAGAATGTGCAGACAAAACAAAATAACAGCTTTTTGGTAAAGCCCATCTTTCTACTGTTTTCAGAAAAAGCAATGAGGCCTTTAAAGGCCCCTACAGTCAAGCATGGTGGAAGTTCACTGATGTTTTGAGGTTACTTTGCTGCTTCAGGCACTTGATGTCTTGACTGTGTGCATTGCATTATGAAATCTGAAGACTACCAAAGAATTCTGGGGTGCAATGTAGGGCCCAATGTCAGAAAGTTGGGTCTCCGTCAGAGGTCATTGGTCTTCCAGCAGGACAATGACCAAAAGCACACGTCAAAAAGCACCCAGAAATTGTTTCAGACAAAGCACTGAAGTGTACTGAACTGGCCAGTAATGAGACCAAATCTTAATCCCATAGAGCACCCGTAGAGAGATCTCAAAACAACTATTGAGAAAAGGAACCCTTCCAGTCTGAGAGACCTGAAGCAGTTGGTGAAAGAAGCATGGTCCAAAATTCCATTACAGAGTTGTAAGAAACTCATTGATGGTTACAGGAAACAATTGATTTCAGTTATTTTTTCCAAAGGGTGTGCTACCAAATATTAAATTGAGGGTGCCAATAATTTTATCCTGTCCATTTTTGGAGTTTTGTATGGAATGTGTCAGATTTGGCTTTTTGTTTCTTCACTTTTTTTGTGTCATACCAATAAAAACAAAAGAAATAAACATGAGAATGCCTAAACATTTGTAATTGCAACAATATTCTGGGCTCGAAGTGGTGCATTATTTGACAGAAGTGCAGGGGTGCCAATATTTTTGGCCATGACTGTATGCACTCATCTGTCTGTCATCTCTCATGTAGATACTTACTCTGCTTGCATTTAAAAAAAAAAATAAAATCAATTTCAATGATACATTAATGAATCATTAACTTGTCTCTATATTTGCCTGAGTTAGTCCCCTTTCACACAGATTCCGTTCTGTGAGCTGATCCCTTGCCATCTTGTCCATCTAAGAATACTCTTTCCCTCTGGGTAAAAATGCTGCTGTATGATTTCACTGCAGCATGCACAGCATTGTCACTATGGAGAGATTTACTAAAACTGGCATATATAGGTCCACAACTTGAGGTGAGTAGCCATCCTTTTTCAGGTGGAGGGACACTGAATTCAATTTTAGTGTGGAGCACTGTTTATCAGTGGAAGCACAAGAATTTATAACCATTGGGCTTATTGAGCACTAAAACTGGTGCTCCCAAAATCTGGTGCAGCTGTGCATGGTAGCCAATAAGCTTCTAACTTCAGCTTGTTCAGCTAAGCTTTGGCAGTAAAACCTGGAAGATAATTGGTTACCGTGCAGAGTTGTACCAGATTTTGCACTCTCCAGTTGTAGTAAATAACCCCCTATGTGACAAGAAGGGGAAACTTCTACTGACCAACAAGTAATAAAACTGTATTATGGGAGAACTCATAAAAACAAAAACTGTTGTGTTAATTCTAGTGACAGACTGCATCATATGTGTCATCTTTATTTTACCCATAGCTATACTTTACTGTAGTGCAGAGTGCACAGATGCAGCATTACGTGATTGTAGTTTGACTTTTACCGGTTTAGTACAGTATAAAAAAGATTTTATTTTCTCAAATGATTACAGACTGGGACAATGAAGACGGCACCATCAAGTACCATGTGAGACATGAGGTGAAGAATGATCATTTGTTAAGGAAGACAATTAGGAATGTCATTGAACAAGATCTAGAAGAGAGGTTGGAAGTCCTAGGATTTAAAGCTGTAAGCTTGCATCACAGAATTATTAAATTGACAATTTCTACACCTAGCTAGTATAACACAGAGTTTGGTTATCAGCATTAAAAATGAATTTTTGACAGGCAAGATAGAATCCTGGTGTTATAATGCAGATTATTATTTACTATTTTAATGCATGCTGTCATTGCTGAATAATCAACAGTAGAAAAAGCTATCATGTATGTAAAAAGATGACATTGACAGACTCGGTGAAATGTTACTTCATGTAATGAGCAGACTGCTGCATGTCCAAGAGCCTTTTTGCATGTGACAAGTTCACTTTACTGCTGTTCATATTTGTATTGTTGTAGAGATGAATAACACATTTTGTTCTTGGCAGGGTGTCCATGGGATCCCCAGTGACAAGTTCCAAAAATTAATGGATGTAAGGCAAAATAACAGACACATGAGGGAGAAAACATTTCCGGGGATCCAGAAAATTTATGAAAAGCTCGCAAAGCACGTAACTCAAAAAGCAGAGGAGCAATTATCAACATCTTTCAAATGCATTTCAACAAATCAGCTTTTTACTGATGGTACGATAAGGAGCTTATTTTATCTCAACATGGTGGTGTAAAACCATTGATGTATGCTCTGTGTTAATGCAGTTTATTAACAAAATTATTTGAAAATAATACATCAGAGAAAGCGTAAGATGACCATGTCAGCACAGGATCATTTTTATATTAAAGCATACCTGCTAAAAGCGTGAACACATTTAACAGCTGCTTTGCTGCTGCATGGCTGCTGCATGTGTGTTCCACCTGCCACATGATGTGCATCCACACACTGGGAAGTACTGACAGGGTCACTTTAATATATTACAATAAGAAGTTACGGAATCACTAGGCGGTCTGCGGAGAAAATTCAGTACAGGATTCAACAACAAATGAAAAGTGGATCTCATGTAAAATTTTCAGATATTTCTATATTTTACTCCAATTTCAGTGCAAAAGTAAACCTTATTCACGGCATTTATTATGCTCATAGATAATGAAAGTGTGATAGGTGCTATAAAAAATATTTATGGTGAGGTTAAATGTTTAAGGACGGGTTACAGGTTCATCATTGTTGGGGAAATTTAAAAGTTAGGGTGCTAATCTTGGGGTTAGGTGAGGTGTTACATGTTCAGGTAGATGAGGTTACATTTTAGGGGTGGCTTAATTTTAAGGGCATCATTTTTGTTACCAGTTTTTGACCACAATCTGTAGGTTAATGTTGCTCAGCACGATGCCTATACCAGGAGATGGTTAATCTACATTCCCTTTCACAGCTAGGAAAGTAGTTGTGCATGCTCCTCTGATGCCACACAATCACTGACCGCTTCCAGTTTCCACTAATGGTCAGAAACAAATCATCTTTGTCAGCTATGACAAAGTGTGAAGTTTGTTAGTACACAAAATTTGAAGACTGTAGCTGTATTTCTTACCCACTTGTCCTCCTGACCAGGGCTTTTTTTGCGTTACGGCGCTGCATAACTATAATTGACAATTTCGTGGTCATACAATGCTACACCCAAATTAAATTTACGTCCTTTTTTCTCCACAAATTGTTCTTTCTTTCAGTGGTAAATGATTGCCTGTGCAGTTTTTATTCTTTGCGCTATTAAAAAAAAAAAAGACAGACAATTTTGAGAAAAAAAAATATTTTTGACTTTTGCTATTAAAATGTACAGTAAAGAAATTTTAAAACTCAAATTTCGTCATAAATTTACACCAAAATGTATTCTGTTACATCCCCAGTGACACCAATACAGTGATCATTGCTAAAAAAAATAGCACTGACACTGTACTAATGGCACTGGGCAGGAAGGGGTTAACATGAGGGACAAATCAAAGGGTTAACTGTGTGCAGGGAATGCTACTTAGGGGGCGGTGTCAGTGTGCTTCACTGGAATCACACTGCTGTGGATGGGTGTGCTGTGCACTGTCATCCAGAGCAGTGTGCCCAAGCTGACAGGGAGGAGAACTGTTAGTAAACAAAACAGTCCTCCTCCCCATCGAAGATCTTCGTAAATCACCGAGCGCTGGCGAGAAATTAACGGCTGGGACCCAGTGATTGACAGCCGCGAATGGCAGCACGGGTAGGGCGCATACCCCCAACCCGGAAATGCAAAATCACGTATATACACATGTGATTTTGCACACCTGTGCCGCCCTGTAGCAGTATTTATGCTGTAGTGCGGATAGGAAGCAGTTAATGTAAGCGCTCTGCACAGAACTATTTTCATTAAAATTTAAACCCTGGATAATGGGAAAATCTGAGGAAAATTTAGGTAAACTTTGTAAAAATTTATTGAGTATATGTCCTTAAAAATTGTAAAAAATAATTTAGGTAGTAAAATATATATTGAGCTATAGTCAAGTTTAAAGGAGAAGTATAGCCAAATCTCTTTTGGCTGTACTTCTCCTGTGGATCACAGGATAGCAGTTCATTCTGCATTGCTGTGACCTGTTTTCATTGTCTGCTGACGTCACGGAGCTGGTCCAGGCTCTGAAAAGATCCTGACCATATGGTCAAGATCCACCCAGATGCTGGACTGGCAGTTGGCTCAGCCTGTCAGGAGGCCTCTTAGAGCCTAAGTCAGGCATGTCCAAAGTCCGGCCCGCGGGCCATTTACGGCCCGGGGGTCGGATTAATACGGCCCTCCAACAGCCCTCCCTGCTCTGTGTAATGTGGCCCTCCCACGGCCCTCCCTTCTATGGCAGACAGTCTTCTGCTTGAGAGCAGAGGGCAGTGCGCATGCCTGACTGCAGCGCGTTCTCCCTGGTCTGTGTAAATGTGGCTGTCGCACGGCCCTCCCTTTTGTGGCAGACAGTCTTCTGCTTGAGAGCAGTGCGCATGCGTGACTGCGCCGTGCTGGGACGACAGAGGGCGGTGACGTCAGGGCCGGGCTTCCAGCGTGAAGTGTGTTTCTCTTCCCCCCCCGGCTGCCGAGCAGAGACTTCAGCTCCAGCTACCTTTTTCACCCTTCACATTAGTGCAGGTAAGTTTTTTTTTAAATGTATTTTCAATACATTGTGAAAACTCAGCTGTCAGTTGATCTTAATGTTATGAAATGAAAAGTATGTCGTTTGCAATTAACTTTGCATAAAATAATTTATTTGCATTTAATTGTAATGGTTCAAAGAATGTTCGGAAAAATGTTCGGCCCTCCACCATGTTCACTTCATCCAATCTGGCCCTCTTTGAAAAAAGTTTGGACACCCCTGGCCTAAGTCAACTGCTCCTGCCCTTTCTGCAGCCCATTGACTGTTGGATGGGCAGACCAGAGAGCCAGTGACTGAAACTCACAAGCTCTCTACAGCCTGAAGACCTAGAACTGAGTGATCAGCAGTGTTTAATCGCTTAGTTATTGGTCTTAGAGCCAGTGGGGGATAGATGCTGCATCCACCTAGGTGAGTACAATTGTTTTTTTTGTGAAACCTATACTTCACTTTTAAGAGAATCATTCTGGCACTGTTAAATTTGATCTGGATACCAGCACCTCAATAACCTCTGGTCATCAAAGGGCTTATAACTTTAAGGAGAATTGTAGGTTTTTAATTCGCACACCACAAACTTTCCAATCATATAATACAAATTGAAATGTTTAACCTAAAAACTTGTATTGAAGGATTTCTTGTCTTAACAGCGAAATCTTTAACTTGGGGAAGCACATCATCTTTTTCACCACCTAGACAGAGGAAACCAAAAACATCAACAGTAAAATCTTCTGAAGAAGAATCAAAAGCTGAACCAAGATATCTGGTGCCTAAAACTAGTTCTACCCCAAAGTAAGATACATTGTTTGAAGGAAAAACGGGATGGTTTAGAAACAACAGACTACAGCAAAAGTTTCTGAAGCAATGGGAAAGATTTATTAACATTAGTCCTGTGTAGGATGAATGGAGATCATGCTAGCCATCCTTATTTCTGACATAGTCATTGGACATATGACAGATGTAATGTCTTTGATTTTCCACTGTGAGTGTTATAACCAATTGGATGTTACCAGGTATTCTGTCAATGGGACTATGTAGTGATATCATGTTGTCTTTTGGTAGGGCACCTGGAAACACCCCAGCTTTAGCACAGCATAACAAACTGAAGGTCACAACTAATTGTGACACAACTGGAACATGATAAACGGTACTTTATTAGTACAAAATGTGCATAGGAAGAAAAGTCTTAACTTTTAGACACTTGTTCTAACAATGCTAGTTGGCTGACTGCCTGGACCCAGAACAAGTTTGCATTGCTTTAGTGACAGAAAAGTGTCAGAATTAATTATTTCTGTACGATGTGGAGTGCCGTGGTATTTCATTCAAGCATCCTTTCAGAATATCTGCTTGGCCGTACATCCCGTACGGCTAGCAGATATTGTGACAGGTTTGCAGGAGACCTGCATGACATCAGCGGTCTACGGATCGCTGATGCAATGCTTTACAGGCTCCTTTGGACAAAAATAATAACTGCACATTTTTTTACCTGCAAACAAATATGTAGTTATTATTTTTGTCCAAAAGGTGAACATATTTCTCTCTTGACAAGTGTACTTTAAATCAAAAATCTGCTGTTGGGTTTTTCTGGGTCATGCCAGCCAGCAGCTGCAGTGTACATTAAGGGCCCACTTTGGCAGAAAAAAAAAAAATTATATATATATATATATATATATATATATTATATTTATAGTATTCTGAATAATACATCTGGTTAATACCTGTAAGGATATTTTTTAGTATGTTACAATATGCATTTCTTTGTATTATCTCTATAGTTGTCCAGAAAAAGTGGATACAGGGGTTGGGGAAAACCATATAACACTGACAGGGGTGCTTTCAACTGTCAACATATTCCTATGGTTTTTTTTTAAATCTTGATATATCTTATTAAAAAGCGTTAGATGGAGTTGGGCTTTAATTTGTGGCTTACTGCACGTCCATCTACGTTTATTCTGTCCACATGGTGACAACACTGCTGTGGAATTTCACCGTGTTGTCACCATGTTAAAGTGAAGAATTTGAGAATCTACTGGCAGAATCAACAAATAATAAAACTGTTACATAGGGAATTTAGAAAAACAAAAACCGCAGTGTCAGTGCTATTAACAAAGATCATTCTACACTTTTTATTTTTGTAATTTTGCCATCATAATTTTTTTCGCAAAAGACATATAGGGGTTATTTACTAAAACTGGAGAGTGCAAAATCTGGTACAGCTCTGTATAGAAACCAATCCTTCCAGGTTTTATTATCAAAGCTTAATTGAACAAGCAGAAGTTGAAAGCTGATTGCCATGGACAGCTGCATCAGATTCTGAGTGCACCATTTTTAGTAAATCTCCCCCATACTGTATATGAATGGAAGTATGTATAGGAATGAAAAGGAGTAAATGGAACTTATTAAATGACTATGTATTATGTGGAACCAGCAGTCTGTAAAGTTATATTGAGACTTTTAATGTGGCTGCCTGAAATGGACACAGTTCGTTGGTGTATTGGTTCATTGTTTGAATCTTTTTTACTTTTTGTTCCTTTAGGTTTAAGTTGGTATCCTCAAAAGACATATCTGTTACCAAACCATCAAGCATTACGTAAGGAACCATTTTGTCTATTTCTGTATTTGTGTTTTTTTTACCGTGTAATACTGGGCCTAGAGAAAAGCATGCAACCGAATGTGAATTAACCACTTGCCCTCCAGAGGATTTACCCCCTTTCTTGACCAGGCCATTTTTTGTGATACAGCGCTACGTAGCTTTAACTGACAATTGCGCATTCATGCAAAGCTGCACCCAAATGAAATTTACATCTTTTTTTTTTTCCCACAAATAGAGCTTTCTTTCATTGGTATTTCATTGCCTGTGCGTTTTTTATGTGTTGCGCTATAAACAAAAAAGGACTGACAATTTTCAGAAAAAAACAATGTTTTTTGACTTTTTGCTATTAAAAATGTCCAGTAAAACAATTAAAAAAATCAACTTTTGCCACAAATTTAGGCCAAAATGTATTCTGCTACATTTCTTTGCTAAAAAAAAATCCAAATGCATGTAAATTAATTGGTTTATGTGAAAGTTATAGCATTTTCAAATGGCGGTATATATACTGAAATGTTTTTGGTTTTTTTTTTTTTGCTAGTAATGGCGGCAATCAACGACTTATTGAGGGCCTGCGGTGGGCATTCTGACACGGAGGGAACTGACATCCCCAGTTACACCAATACAGTGATCAGTGCTAATAAAAAGCATTGACAATGTACTAATGGCACTGGGCAGGGAGGGGTTAACATGTGGGATGATCAAAGGGTTAACTGTGTGCTGTGTGCTATTTTACTATGTGGGCTGTGTCTGTGTTTCACTGTAAACTTACTGCCTTGTATGGCTCCGCTATGCAGAGCCATACAAAGCAGTGTGAAGGAGTTGACAGGGGAGAGATCTGTCTTGTTTATACACAGGTCTCTCCCCTGTTGGAGATACTCGGTGATCACCGGGTGCCGGCGAGGAATCACTGGCTGGAAGCCGGTGATTGACAACCGAGGCCGCGAATGGCGGTGTAGGTAGGGTGCACACATGCCCCCTACCCAGAAATGCGCACCCCTGTTGCCCTGTAGCAGTATTTCTGCTATAGGGCGGAGGGGAAGCGGTTAAACTGTCATACTGCGGTATATATAAATAATGGTGAGAGTTGTTGGATTTGCAAATAGCCTATTTACTGACAAAAAGCATGTTCAGTCAGTGTGCGTCTAAAGATCCTGCTTACAAGCCCAGTTCACTTGATCGATGTAATAGCTTCTGGCTTTGATTGTGATCAGTCACAGAACAGTCCACCTGTGTTGTTTTCTTCTCTTGAATGGATAAAAAGATACATTGTATCTTATTGTCCTTGCTAGAGGAGAAAAATGGAAAGGAAGGAAGATATTTCAGGGTTAGAGTTAGGATCAAGGTTACACATATGTGGTATAGCTGCAATCGTCAGGAGCAGAATAACTTATTTTGTGTTGTTCTTTGGGGGTAGGTTATGGTAATGGAAAGAAATATATAGCTACATGTTAAAACATTAGTTTTTTTTACTAATTTGTAGCAGTTTTCTTCTGATAACAAAAAATCTAAAGATATCCATTACCATGTACCAAACAAATTGTCCTGAAAAAAAAAAACAAGGTATATTTCACCTGAATTCAGGAAGTAGTTGTGATGATATGCAGTTTTATTAACTCTGATGATTATCTCTGGCCTGTTTTTAACACTCCTGATTGGGTTAGAGGTGGGCTTTGTACAGATTGGTTACTACAGTTTGGCCAAAAGGGACTGTACCTAGACCCTGCATGCAAGAGCGGAGATGGCCTGTAATGTCCAGTCACCACTGGATCCTGCGGGCAGCTATCCCAGGGTTACAGGATATCCAGTGACCTTGCTGGCAGGTTGCTTTACAGATCCAGAGTGGTGATCCCTAGGAAGGGGAGTTAAGTTCTTGAAGGTGCTGTAGGCCTCCTCTTGTCTGTTCCACATTGCTTGTTGCAAAAGTGAGGCTTAGCTGGGAGGGGTTATGTCTGGGCGTGATTTTTGGCCAGTGTCCTTTCGCTTGAAGGTGGTAGCATAATTCAAGTATTCTTATGAAGTCCTCTGCATCCTGTGATGTATTTCAGAAAAAAAAAAGATTTTTACAAGTAAATTAAAAATCTTTTTTTCTTTTTACTATTTTGGGCAGGTTTCCTTTGATGAAAAAAACAACTCAGGAGATATCTATTAAAGCATATCTAAACCCAAGAACATAAATTGATAGTATTGCAGTTTACCAGCTCTTAGATGTGTTTTTTTTCACTCCTTTTTCATGTATTTTAACCTGATAATCCTGCCATTAATACACTTCCTGTCCTGGGGTGACAACTGGACTGAGCAGCATTGTTACCCTAGGACAAGAAGAGTGTGTTAGTACTACAAAACAACCCCATTTCTTCTTCATTACAGGAGGAGGTGTTTTATAGTCCTCTGAGATAGCAGGCAACAATGCTAACTGATAGCAATACAAACACACAGAGCAAAGTATGTTATTAGTTGAAACTATTTCTAGCTAGATGAACAGCTATATTTTATTTTCACTTGTCAAACATATGTAAAACGTTTTCAATGGTATATTTAACTGATCAAAAGGGAGAATATAAGATAAATCTATTGTTAGTGTAAATATACTTTAACATTTACCACCAAACTAAGGCCAACCTAGGCATACAGTTTCTGGAGGACAATATAGACCTGACTGTCCAGATCTTGCAGAGGTCCGTGTGTATTCAGAACCTTCAGAAATCAACTCTGGAACTAACATATCAGTTGGAATTTCTGGATCTAGTCATACTGTTCGGTCCAAGAGTCGCCCAACTCTCCACTCCAGTGCTGTACTTTGAGGCAGACCTATTTGCACAGTTTCAACAAAGCAAAATTCTGTCAATGTGGGACAAGTCAGTCCAGTACCTGGACACACCATCTGGCACCAAGTACCAGGTTGTTTCTGGCTTGGTGACTCAGGGGAAATCCTCAAGGTGGATTTCCCCTGTCTATTAGGCTGGGGAGGAGTCCAGGACAGACAAATATTTTTAAGAAATCCTCACACTAGATGGCAGTCTGTTAGGGTAGGGTGGAGTCCTGGGCACCCTGTTGATTCAGGTTACTTGATCGTCATAGCAATACCATTTCCCGATCAACATTCTGGAACTTCAGGCAGTTTGGCCATCCCTACAGCAGTGGTGAACCATCCAGCTGGAGGGTCATCCAATCTGGATTCATTTGGACAATACCACAGTAGGGGCATGCAGCAACTATCAGTTCATCTGGACGTGGGGAAACCTGGAATTTTGTCTTGGGCAGAACCTCACATTCCAGCCTTTCCCATTGTTTACATCCCAGACATGGACAATTGGCAGGCAAACTTCCTCAGCTGGCAGAATCTGGATCTGGGGGAGGCATCCCTATACCCAGAGGTATTCTAGAAGTTGTATCGCAGGTGGGGGAAACCAGAAGTGGATCTCCTTGCTTCCAGGAGGACAAAACTTGACAAATTTGTCTCCAGGTACTGGGATCCTCTTGCGACAGCAGTGGATATTCTGGTGACTCCATGAGATCAGTACACCCTGATCTATGCCTTTCCTCCCCTAAAATATATTCCTTGTCTTCTTCTTAAAATCAAGATGGTTGACTTTTTCGTGATCCTTAATGCTCTGGAATGGCCTAGGCAGATGTGATACACCAACCTGATCAGACTCCTGTGGAGCTCTTTCAGCTTATTCGGACATTTTGTTTCAAAGACCAATTTACAATCTTGATTCTCAGACCCTGGTTTTAACGACATCATTGAGGAAGCCCTAGTTTTGAGAGATGAGCATCTCTGAATCAGCTATTCCTCAGATACTAAAAGCTAGGAAGTCTGCTTCTCAAAAGATCTATCACTGTACATGAAAAGGCATATTTAACTTGGTGTGAGGCACAAGGATTTCAACCGATGAAATTTTCAATGGGACAGATTCCTGCCTTTCTGCAATTGGGCTTGGACCAGCTTTTGTCCCTCATCACTTCAAGAGCCCAGTATCTTCTGATTCCTTCCCACTCCAAACACCATTAGCATTCCATTCCTTGATCAACAACTGTGTTCTGGGTGTCTCCCATGTGGTTTCACCTGTTGGCTGTCCTGTGACTCCATTGGACTTGCATTTGTTTTTGTTTGTTTTTTTTTGTAAAAAGCTGTCCTTTGACCCTATTAGAGATATTTTGATCACCACTCTTTACATAAGATGATGCTTCTTGTAGCCATCACCTTTGCAAGGGTAGTGTCTGAGCTGGCAGCCTTATCCTGTTAAAATGCTTAATACCTAAAGGTGCTGAGGCAAGGAACTTACTTCATGTCTAAGATAGTTTGGCCTTTCACCTCAACTAGGACATTGCTCTCCTTCTGTCAGCTGCAATTCATCAAAAGGAGATATGTCTCCATTGACTGGATGTAGTTCAGGTTGTGAAAGTTTATCTCTCAATCGCTGATTTTTTCAGAAAGACTGGCTTCTTGTTCCACCAATTCTGAGTACCGGACCATTATTCAAGCCTGTGATCTTAAGGAAGAAGTTTTCCCTCCCCTCTCCTACTAGCGTGGGCTCTTTGGCCTTGGACCACTGTTTCCCATGTTTACATGGCTGCCAATTGTTTTTTTTTTTTTTTTGTTCACGTTTTCCAGTATCTACCAGGTGGATATTCAGGCCTCTTATGATACCAGCTTTAAGTATAAGATCCTTCAGGTGGCTTTGTTCTGTTTCTAGTGGGTCTGTTAGTTTTTTTTGTTTGCTGTGTTGCTCGCCCTGCAGTTGGACTGCTTTTGGAAGCCCCCAAAGGTAAAGACTTTCTGTGTCCCTCAATGTATAAAAAAGAAAATTGGATTTTTGTACTCACCTTAAAATTATTTTCTTGGAGTCCATTGAGGGAAACAGGTCCTATTCATCTGTGTTTATTTTTTCAGTACTGCTTGCTACAAAATCTAGGCATGCTGGTAATAGGAGGGTTTGTCCTGAGATAGCCTACAGACTTTTTTTTTGCCAGTGTCCAATCAACCTTTTTTAGGCGGCAGCATAATCTGAAGGTGAAAACTTCCAGATAATCAATTTATGGTGAGTACAAAAATCCTATTTTGTTTTGATGCATCTACAATATATTTAGCTGATTTAAACTGAAAGTTCAATTGGGCAAGATTTTGAAATAACATTATTACTTTCCCTTAGTCTAGCACATGCTTCTATTTTAACATTATCATATAATATGTAATTTCAGAACATCTCCATTCAGTTCTGATGATGAGTCTGAATCTAACGACATACCTTTGCCATCTTACAAAAATCTGGACTCTTTGAGAACTAATAGTAAAAGTAATATTGAGTTTGTGGCCAATGAAAGTGAATCAGATGGGAGTTTATTGGAAGAAGTTAAACCTAAGCCAGCCTGTAGAAGCAATGGCCTATCCCAAGCTCCACCAAAACCAGCTAGAGGTAAGAAATACAGTACCAATAGTGGCAGGTTATCCAGCTGACACTGTAAATTCCGCACTGGATGTACATCGTTAATAAATACCTTGAATTGTTATTAAAAGTCATGGACATTAGATGATGAAACACATATCATCATAACTTTAGGCTTTTTTCATTCACAGTATTGCACTTGTATGGTCTTAATAATAACTTGTTGGATTGTTATTTTAGCAGAGCTTATGACCATTTTTCCTTTCAAAGCTTCTAAAAGATACCATGTAAATCAGTATAAAATGGCACGTTGTCTATGGGGACCTTACTCTTCTTTGGGCAGCATCTACTTTATTTTCATGGTGCCATTGTATTTATAGTTGTGGAACATTTAAAACCACTGTTAAAAAATAACAGTATCTTTCTGGTGTTGTGTTACTCTTGTATGGTTGATTAAGTACTAAGAGCGTAAAAATGACAAATCAGTTTATCCAGGCACATGGATATCGTTGCTGCATGCTTTCTGCATAGGATCTAATGCTTTTCAAGTCAGAGGCTGTCGTTGCCATTTCCCATAAGATGGGAAATGGAGCAGCAATGGAGGTTAATCTGAATTAGAACATAGCTGAAGGATTAGGTTAGGCTCAGTATTTAGAGTTTTATAAGTTAAGTGTTGATGGAGAGGTTAATTGTCAAGTATTTACTCTAGGGGTTAAATGAAAGGCTGGGGGTGCTCATTGTTCAGGGACAGGCTAAAGGTGTGTTGTGTTGAGGGGGCCTAAATGTAAAAGGCCTGCTTAATGAGTTGGGACAAATGTTAAAGTATTTGTAAAGGCAAAAATGTTTTTTAAATAAAATAAAAAAGATGCTATACCTACCAGCGACCAGTCCCATACCTTCTCTTCTTGAGTCCCCTGTCAGTGCTGTCTCCTCTTCTTTTCCTGATGGTGGTGCCTCTGCAAGCCCTGTGCTGAGGGGGCACCTGTACAGGCGTGCTCCCAAGTCAGGCTGTGTGCGACTATAGACACACACATAGAATATATTAAGGTAAAAAAAAACTTGTATACTTTAGAACCACTTTAAATATTCATGGAGTGTACAGTAAAGCGTTAGAGGGAACATTTATGGTTACAGTTTAGGTAGCTGCAGTTTTTGCCACTTATTTTTGTCGCTAGGAGCCCTTTGATAAAAACTGCCAGCACCAGAGAACAGATGTGTTGATACAATGAAGCTTGAGGTGATTGTAGCCATATTAGTGCACTTGTAACAAAAAAAAACTGAGTACTGTTCATGATACTTTTTTATTTGCACTAATATCTTAATTTTCAGGACAAGCTTTCAGGGTGTACACACTTCTTCAAAGTCCAAGCAGTGCATAAAACATAAAGTTTTAGCAGAATGTTAAAATGACAATCTCTGAGGGAAATAAAAAACACAAACATACAGAGTAATGGTAATTAAACTTGAATAGTTAGTGAGAGCAGGAGAGGGCTATGGAAGAAGAGAGGAGAAGAGTCAGAGAGGTGAGAGTGGTCATAGAAATGTTGGATAGTGACTTCTCCCTTCCCACCCCAAAGCACTCTGCCCTGTCTCTCTAACTATTCAAGTTGAATTGCCATTGCTGTGTATGTTTGTGTGTTTTGTCCCTGAGAGCAGGGGCGAACTGAACACTCATGGGGCCCCCGAGCAATAGGGGATCATGGGGCCCCTGTGTCCTTGCCCAAGCTCAAAAAAGCCTATGAAAAAGGTACCAGGGGCATCTCATGGGGCCCCCTCCTGACCCTGGGCCCTCGGGCAGTGCCTGAGTTTCCAAATGGTCAGTCCGCCCCTGCCTGAGAGTTTGTCTTATTAACATCCTGTTACAGCTGTGTATTAGTATTGCTTGGATGTAGAAGAATGGGGTAAACTCCAAACGTTTTTCCTGAAAATTTGGATGCTATTGCAAATAAAAAAAGTATCATGGACAGTACTCAATTATAATAATAATGACTGTACAGTACATGCATTTCATTCTGTGCCTTAAAATGTACAGAGAGCAAAAAAAAAAGAAAGCAAGCTGTAATCTGCTGTCATTACCAGAGACACTTTTAGCTCACCACTGGTGATCTCTGCCATTAAATTGCGAACAAAATTTGAGAAGTATGCACATATACAGGGATATTTATAGAAAAAAGTAAATCTCAAGGTATGCTTTGATGTTAAAGCGAAAGTAATGTTGATTTGGTAACCCAAGATGACTGCTCCCCTGCTCCCAGAAGATAGAGAAAATGTGCTATTTGTAAGCTTGTTTCATTTTTGTAGATATTTTGATGAAGCTACTATGTTTTATAAGTGTTATTTTCCTTGAAAGATCACAAATCATTCTTCTTTAGCTGCTAACCCCACATGCACAGTTCGGAAAGACAGTTCTAATGCCTCTAAGCTCCCTAGTGACATAATACAGGTTGCTTCTTGGTTCATTCACCATAGGGAGGATCAGAGACCCGATGTTCACTGAGCTCCCTCTTCCATAGCCAGCCATACTCACCATGCTGGTCTCAGGCCCTTAGAGGAGCCATGGATAAATGGCAGCGAAATCGTGCTGGAGAGGGTGTTCGATTTTGGTGCTTTCCTCTCTTCCAGGGGAAAGACGACAATCAATTTGTAACACACACACATTCCCAGTGGTATTTAAAATGGGTTAAATGTTTAAAATCCTTTAACCTTCATTAATGCCAAGAGCACTCAGCAGTTAATTTTTATTTTGGGCGCCATAATCTTTTAACAGTTAATTTTTGTTATTTTTAATAACAATACAATAAGTACTTTTATGAATATTACTATGCAGGATTTACAGTACTGTACAAATGTTTTAGGCAGGTGTGAAAAAATGCTGTAACGTAAGAATGCTTTCAAAAAGATATATTTTAATTGTTTTATTTTATCAATTTACAAAATGCAAAGTCAGCGAACAGAAGAAAAAGCTAAATCAAATCAATATTTGGTGTGACTACCATTTGGCTTCAAACCAGCATCAGTTCTTACACTTGCACACTTTGTACACTTGCACAGAGTCAGGAATTTTGTAGGATTAAAGATAGGTGTATATTTAACCAAATATATCAAGCAGATGCAAATGATCATCAATTCCATATGTAGGTTGAAACAGTCATTAACTGAAATGGAAACCGCTCTAGAGAAGGCTTAAAACTGGATGAGGAACAGCCAAACTCTGCTACTAAGGTGAGGCTTCATGTCACAGGACATACACCATGGCAAGGCTAAGTATAGCAACAAGACAAGGTAGTTATACTGCTTTAGCAAGGTCTCTCCCAGGCAAAGATTTCAAAGCATACTGCGGTTTTCAAGATGTGCTGTTTGAGCTCTTTTGAAGAAGCATAAAGAAATGGGCAATGTTGAGGACAGTAGACGCAGTGGTCAGCCAAGGAAACCTAATACAGCAGATGAAAGACACATCCTGTTTACTTCCCTTTGACATCAGAAGATGTCCAGCAGTGCCATCAGAAGAGAACAGGTGGAAACTAGTGGTACTCAGGTACACTCATCTACTTTCCAGAGAAGTCTGGCTAGAAGTGTTCTTTATGGAAGAATTTCGGCTAAAAAGCCATACCTCCAACTTGGAAACAAGGCTCAGGGACTCAACTATGCACAAAAACATAGGAACTGGGGTGCATAAAAATGGCAGCAAGTGCTCTGAACTGATTTGTCAAAATGTGAAATATTTGTTCGCAGAAGGGCTGGAGAGTGGTACAATAGTGAGTGTCTGCAGGCAACAATGACACAAATAGAGTTGGAAATTTGGTCAGAATCATTGGTGTCCTCAATTCTGAGAAGTACACGCAGATACTTATCCATGATGCCATACTGTTAGGGAGGTGTGTGCTTGGCCCCAGATCTATTCTGCAGCAGGACAACAACCCCAAACATACAGCCATTGTCATTAAGAACTATCTTCAGCGTAAAGAAGAACAAGGAGTCCTGGAAATAATGGTTTGGTTCCCACAGAGGCCTTATCTCAACATCGTGTCTGTCTGGAATTACATGAAGAGACAGAAGAATTTGAGGCAGCCTACATCCACAGGAGATCTGTGCTTACTCCAACTCGTGCCGAGTTCCTTCAAAAACTGTGTGCAAGTGTATCTAGAAGAATTTATGCTGTTTTGAAGGTAAAGGGTTGTCACACCAAATGTTGATTTGATTTTCTCTTCTATTCATATACTTTCCATGTTGTTAATTGATAAAAATAAACTATTAACATTTCTAATTATGAAAGCATTCTTAATATACAGCATTGTTACACCTACCTAAAATTTTTGCACAGTAGAGTATATAGCACCAACAGTTTGCTTAGTGCTTTACAACATGAGGGCAGACAGTACAGTTACAATACAATTCAATTCAAGGAATCAGAGGGCCCCACTCATTAGAGCTTAGAATCTAGAAGGGAGGGTCAAGCGATACAAAAGATAATAACTGTGAGGGATGAGCTGATGGAGAAAATAAAAGTACAGTTGTTAGGTGGAGGTAGGATAGGCTTCTCTAAGAGAGGGGTTTTCAGGAATCGCCTAAAAGTAGACTGAGTGGGAGAAGGACAGATTGGGGTAGGGAGTTCTAGACGATGGAGAGGCTCTGGTGAAGTCCTGGATGTGTTGGCAACAGTGTCCATGATAGATGTAAAGGTAATCCAATGAGGAGGTAGTTGCAATAGTCGAGGCAAGAGATAACCAGGAAGTAAATTAGAAGCTTTGTTGTGTCATTGGTTGGGAAGGGGTGTATTTTGAAGATGTTGCGGAGGTTGAGGCAGCAAGATTAAGACAGTGATTGGCTGTGGGGCCAAAAGGAGAGTTCAGAGTCCAGGGTTACCCTTAGTACCCTGGCTTGCGGGGACATGCTGATAGTTGTGCCATTGATCTTGACAATTTTGGATAGATTGAGTTTGAGGAAGTAGTGTGATATCCAAACTGATATGTCTGTCAGTAAATTAGTTTTTGCTGTTAAGATCTTTACTTGTTTATTTGTATATATTTATTAATCTTCACTTAAACCTAAAACTAATTCTAATATCTTTTAGCAACACAAGTAAAAGAACTAGGTCAGCAATCAACAGGTTTGAATAATGTAAAGCCACGTGGTAGTTGTGATGTACCCCAGGCATTTGTGAAAAAAGATCCAGTTATGGAACTAAAGGTAGGCAATTAAGTAGCATTTAAACATCTGACTATTCATTTTTTTAAATACAGACTATTGACAGAACAAAGCAAATATAATTAGTTTTTAGAGGTAGTTTATTGTGGAAATAAAAAATATTTTGTACCACTGACTACCAAGATATATGTTTGGAAAAAATATCCATACCTCTGATAAGAGACATTATATGTTTGGAATTAGTGACGTGTAAGTGCATGTAAGTGTGTACCCATAAGCCCTGTAATTATGGTGTCATTAGATCATGCAGCAATGGCCAGTCTGCCTTGTTCTTGGTCATGTGATAACTGCTCTACCCCCAGACAGAAGTCAGTGAAAAAGAGATACGTGCTTAATTTTGGTTAGGCTACTTGTACACTGATCCATAGCAAAATGTGGTAAAATGCACATAGGTTTATACCACATTTGCAGTGCATTTTTTACAGGACATGTAACTCAAACCGCACCAAAAATGCAACAGGTGTGTGTTTTTCATTAATTTCAATGGGGATGTTTGTTTTTGGTTGTGCACCAAAAATACAGCAAGCAGGATTTTAAAAACGCAGCAGACCCGCAATGGATCAGTGTGAAGAGTTCCATAGGATTAAATGGTCACAGGTTTTTGTTCCACTTTATTCAACGCAAAAGTGAAAGAAAAACTGATCAGTGTGAAAGCAGCCTTAGCAGGAATATAAATTTAACTCTGTTCTGTCAGGGTATTTCGTGTGTGAGTGTGTGTATTACATTTATCTAGCAAGCATACATTTTGTTTATTCGATCAAATAATTCTTAACCACTTGCTCTCCAGAGGATTTACCCTCCTTCTTGACCAGGCCATTTTTTGCTTTACATCGCTGCATTACTTTAACTGACAATTGCGCAGTCATGCAACGCTGCACCCAAATGAAATGTACATCCTTTTTTTCCCCACGAATTGAGCTTTTTTTCGGTAGTATTTGATTGTCTGTGCACTTTTAATTTTTTGGGCTATAAAAAAAAAAAGACTGACAATTTTGAGAAAAAAAAACAATATTTTTGACTTTTTGCTATTAAACATGTCCAGTAAAAAAATAAAAAAAATCAAATTTCATCATAAAGTTAGGCCAAAATTTATTCTACTACATGTCTTTGCTAAAAAAAAATCCCAATACGTGTAAATTAACCTCCCTGGCGGTATTCCCGAGTGTAGCTCGGGGTAACATTTCAGTACCAAAAGCGGTAACCCCGAGCTACACTCGGGAATACCATACGGCGCTGCTCCGGCATGTGTTCTTCACTTACCTTACCCTGCGCTCCCACGATGTGTCCCCTGCAGAGTCCCCGGCCATCTCCTACGGCTGATGCCGGCATCCGGCTTCTGTGTCCTGTCCCTGTGACGTCGGGACGTACGGGCGCCGCCGGCGGCGGGAAATTTAAAAATTTTAAAAAATGTCATTTTTTTTTTTTTTTTTTCATTTTACACAGTAAAACATTGCTGTTTCAACTTATTTCACATACATATTGTCCCTAGTGCTTTGTCCTGCGCCCTGCCTGCATTTTGTCTGTTCTTTCTGCCTGGAAACTGAGAAACGTCCATGGCGTCCAAAAAGTGTCCCTTTAGGTCAACAGCGGTTTAGATCAGCTAGAGAACAGCGATAGTAAATCAGAACCACTTACAGAATTGAGTGATAATGATTCGTGGGGGAAATTCGTCATCAGACACTGAAAACGATTTTGCGACTGAGCTCAGCAATGTGCGAACTTGGCGCTCTATTTCACATTTCAGTGTTTTTGGTTTGATTATAATATTGAATTAAATTTTTTATTATTTTTATATTTTTATGATTATTTATTAAATTATAATTTATGATTTTGTGTTTCAAATTTTATCATACCCGGGATGTTTACTAGACTCTTGTTCGGACAGATTTCAGTGAGTTTTTCCTAAAAATTACAGCCTACAATAAAAAAAATACATATTTCCATGCAAAAAAATGGTACCGCTTTCAGCACCAAAAATCTGAAATAATCATACCGCTAGGGAGGTTAATTGATTTACGTGAAAGTTATAGCGTTTACAAATGGCGGTATATATACTGTGATTATTTTTTAATTTTTACTAGTAATGGCGGCGATCAACGACTTATAGCGTGACTGAGGCAGGCATTCTGACACTGGGGGGAAACTGACTTGGTGTCACTGACATCCCCAGTGACACCAATACAGTGATCAGTGATAAAAAAACACTGACACTGTACTAATGGCACTGGGCAGGAAGGGGTTAACATGAGGGCGATCAAAGGGTTAACTGTGTGCTGTTTCACTATAAGCTGTGTCCGTGTGCTTCACTGTAATGTACACAGCCATTCAAAGCAGTGTGCACGAGCTTACAGGGAGCAGAACTGGTTTGTTTACAAACAGTTCACCTTCTCATTGGAGATTCTCAGCAGGCACCGGGCAGTAATCACCGCCTGGGACCTGGTGATTGACAGCTGCGGCTACGACTAGCCCTACCCGGAAATGCAAAATCATATATATATATATATATATATATATATATATATATATATATATATATATATATATATGATTTTGCGCACCTGTGATGCCCTGTAGCAGTATTTCTACTATAGGGCAGTTGGGAAGCTAATATTCTTGATTATTATTTTATGTTCAGGAGAGTTATAAAAAATCTAGGAAATCTGCTAGTAACTGAAATAGGAATGTCAGTTTTGCTTTGGTTTTATCTTTAATCTCTCATTCAGTATTCTACAATCTTCATTATGGAGTGGAGTAATATTGCAAAGAACACATTTAATACTTGTGTGGTGAGGCACAACAATTGACACAGATATAATAGTCAAAGTATTGGTTGTAAGAGTGATTTCTATGGGGGATATTTACATTTTATAAAGCAATTCATGTGATTCACCTAAAATTCACTTCAGGTGAATCATTGTCATTTGAAAAACGTGCTCCAGAAAGAATTACCTGCAGTGTATGTTTGGTGAAAGTCACATTCACTTTTTCTGTCTTTGACAGGTCTGAAAATGATTTTTTTTTTAATGAATATCTTTTCTTGTTAGCTTACTGACTTTGATGACACTGAATTAGACAGTTCATCTTTGGAGGAGGAACCTTATGAAGTACCACGGTCTGTACAAAGACGCCAGGAGGCCACAGTCCACAGGAAGGAGGTTCAAACAGTTTTTGCTAAGAATACTAGTGGTGTTACAAAACCTTTCAAAGCAGGTATTTGTTTAAATAAATTAGCTTACTTTTTCTCAGATATATTGTAGTTTACTCATAAAGATATTGGCATTTATTTTGTGTGTAAAAAGAAAGAAAAATGGTGTTGCTCTCCCACACAATAACCTATATATTATACATACTCAGAAATTATTAAATAAATAAATAATCCTCTTAAATAATCCACTATATGAGATGATTATTAATATTATAATACAGGATTTATATAGCGCCAACAGTTTGCTCAGCGCTTTACAATATAATGGGAGACAATACAGCAACAATACAGTTCAATACAAAAGGGATAGGAGGGCCCTGCTCCTTGGAGCTTACAATCTAGGAGATGTATATACATCTATTAATCACAATATTGTGCAGTCATATACAAAGTCTACACCCACATAAAAGAAATACATATGTGAATGCATATAAAAAAGAAGCATTAGTGCAAAAAAAAAACACACATGTCCCTAAACAGGGTTAAAGTGACATGAATCAGAAAATAACAGGTGATAGACGCTTGGCATGAATTATGCCCAAAACTGTGCAGTGAAAGAAGAACTGGCAAATGGCACAAATGGTACAATAAGATGGTCAGGATAAATGACCTGACTGAAGACAAAACATAGGATCAACAACAGTCCTTCCACATACAGTATATCTACTGTTTGTGGCACATTTCTGTAATATCTGGGTCTGTTTTTTTTGTCAGTCATTTATGTTAAAGCATCAGTATTATGCTTAGTTTTTTGTCTGATCAGTAACATTATTTTCTGTCACTTCCTTCTCTTCTCCAGATGCTCGTGAAGCTGATACATCCAGCACTGTTGTTAGTTTAGTGACTGTGAGCGACATCAGTGACACCTCTGATATCTAGTAATGTCTTATTTATCAGCAATATATATTATAATACTTCAAGTGCCTTGAGAGTTTGCACTGCCTCGAAAGTCTTCAAGGTCTGCATTTGTATTTTTTTGTATGTTTGTATGGTATTTTATACTGACAAGATTCTGTTTGTACCATTTGGCCTAACCAGTGGAAGGAGATATTGCCTAATGTGTATGTCTTTTATATGACATTTTTATTCTATGATGTTTACAATTATTTTTTTCTACGGTACAAAGTATTCCTACAAGCACTTAATAATTTTGTTTCCAGCTGCAATTTATTTTGTCTTTAGCAAGTTATTTACATTAAACCTGTGAGGGAAATACCACAACATGTACCAGCACAGAGCAGATATTCTAAAATGGATACTTTTATGTAATACATGTACATTTATTCTGCTGTATAGTTAATAATAACTACAGTTTTCAGGCATTCAGAATTAATATATCCACCTAGTGTTTTAATTCTACTGTTTATGATTATTGTAGCAATCCTTAACTACAGACCTATGTCTTAGTGCAGCCAATCTCACAAGCAGGAAATTTCTGGAGGGCATTCTGTACACCATCTGTGTACAGAATGTCTCCAGGTAGTTATATTGCACTGCATATTACAGAAAATTACAGCACTGCAGAGTGAAAAAAAGGGATTTTTTTATAACATTCAATTACACCATGACTTGTGTAACAACTGTATAAGCTATATCATTTTTTATTTTTTTCCCATGAAAGTGGAGTTACCCTTTAAGGGCGGTTTCACACTGCCCACTGCACTTTTTCTAAAGCTCAGCAAACCCACAGTTTTTGTGCAGGTTATCTGCGCTCTCCCATAGACTTCTATGAGGTCCTGCAGTTTTGGTGTGGTTTCAGAAAACACACCAAAACTCCTGCTTGCTGAATCTTTGGTGCACTTTCTGAAACTGCACCAAAATGTGGGATATCATAGAAGTCTATGAGAAAGGGCAGCTAACCTGCACAAAGTGGGACCACACCAGGGCAGTGAGAAGCTGCCCTTATTTCTCCATCTAGACACAGAGTCCTTAGAGTAAACTAATTAAAACTACAGTCCTTAGAGTAAACTAAATGAATAAGTAAAATGAACATGAAAAACTTTTACAAAATAATTATTTACCAAATCAATATGAAAGAAGTAAAGCGCCAACAACAGCCAGTTAAAATCCATCTTGCACTCATCTGGTTTAGGAATATGCCTCATGAATAGCTGCTTCATGCAGTCTATTTTGAACAAAAAACCCAGTATTTTAAGTGAATCTTTTCTTTGCCCATAGTAAGTAAATTAGCAGGTTCATGTAATTGCATTCACAGTAAACATGCTGTACCTTCCTTCATTGCACTTTACTTCTCACCAATCTGCTGCCCAAACCTTCAGAATCTCATGTGTACTGAGCAACGTACTGCATGCTTCAACCACCTACTCATGACAGTGCTTAGGGTTAGTGACTGACCATTTAGACATCAAACACTAAATGTGAGGAGGAAGGGAGAGTGTTATGTTTTTTGCCATACCTGCAAGCACTAGGCATGCTGTGGACTGTAGCAGGTGGGGAAAGCGTGCTTGTACAAAATGCTGAATTACTTGTGTGGGAACTACCATCACGGGTAGAGCTTTTGAAGCACACATCCACTCGCTTTTCTTCTTTTTAAGGGCTGGTTTTTGCCCAATTTTATTTAAAAGAAAGTTCCACACAATACAGGTTTCCCATGCAGGGGTATCCACCATCAATAAAAATAAAACAAAGATTCAGCCTCCTGGCTCTCTCAGGTATACAGCTTGCAGCCCCTTGCTGCTCTGGCTCCCACCTCTCCTAGGTGGAGCCCTCCTGACTCCTGGGAAACGACCTCCTGTCTGCCGGGGTGGAGCCCAGAACCCTAGTCAGGTTATTATTTAAAGCCCTTCACACACCTGTACAATTAGTGTGCAGGGGGGGGGGGGTTAAGAAAACATGGACCCAGGATTGGATATTTCATCCCTCCCAGTTCACTTTGAAATCTTCGGGCTCCAGATCCCAAAACGGACTTTACAAACAACTGAGGAAACTGAACGCTGCATAAAATAAACCCTCTGGAGCCCCTCAACCTGTTTAGTTGAGAATCCTGGGATATAACCTTGATTCTCACAGTAACAGTGCCCAGAACTGCCACACTTGCTAATAAGTGAACTTGTTACTTTGCTAACTGCTGCACTGGCTGCACTTGTCATGCAGGTTAAGGTGCAGTGTTAATAAAGTTGCTGTTATCAGCTGATATTTCTCATTTTTCTACTGACTTGCTTCTACTGTGCTTTCTAGGTTTCATAGGAGAACGATTCCTAAATATGTTGTCTCCACTAGGATCCTCTAGCGCAAACTGGCCAGATGGCTGGTAAAACAAAAGATCCTCACAATTGGAGGCACCCTCTCATTGTGAAGAGGACTTGCCTCCAGACTTTGGGGATCCAAGTTATACAGCTGAACTGGGTATCAGGCTTGGCCTTGGATGCCTGAAAAAAAAAGAACTTTTTTTTGTGTGGGCATTTAGCTGCCTCAGTTTTTGCCTTCTTTTGCAAGGGCAAAGTGGTACAATTCTCCTTCATTATTTTCTTGATAGAAGTATTAAGCATTCATGGAAAAGGCGTTCCCCAGTGAAAAACATCCTCGAGATGCTTCCATGACTGAAGCTTTGCAAACCAATATCCTTTGCATATGAAATTAAACAATGCCCTGTCTGGATATTTGTCAAATTGTATTGACTAGCTGTTGACACAAAAGTGCAGGGCTAGAGGTAGGAGCTCCAGATGTTGAAAGACAGAAGGATCCCGAAAACATGGCTTTGGACCAGAGAGGCACAGATTATCAGATGGACATGGTGGCAACAGCAGGTTACCCTACAGGGCCTGCAAGAAAGAACAGAGATTTAAAAAGGGCTTCCAGTCATTGTACTCCATTCATACTGATATATGCATGAATAGAGATAGAAAAGGTTCCAGTGATCCTTATTGCACCAGATTCACCCGGAAGGACCTGGTACATAGACATACTCACTAGCAGTCAAGACTTGGCCTCTTCCAAACAGACCAGGCCCTCAAGGCAAGGGTTCCTTTTTTGCTTTTGTCCTCTGTTCATATGTTCACTGGGTTTTAACAAGTGGATGTTCAAGCTTCGGCTGATGCTAACTTCAGGGTTCCACAAGCTGTTGTCTGAGTGTTCTGTTGGCAACAGAACTACCAACAGGCCCACAAGAAAAGAAGGGTTCTTTAAGCTTTGATTTATTGGGCCTGTTGGCAGTTCTGTTGCCCTCCCAATATATTGCCTGGGTACTTCCCATGTTCTATAGATAAAGTCCTGCACTGTATCATTAAGATAATAGGAATTTTGACTTGCCTGTACATCCTTCCTTATCTTGGTGTAGAGCACAGGACACAGGTCTCTCCCCTCTGTGTCTTGATTACTCCTTTTTGCTTGCTAAAAAAATGGAGTCTCACAAAGTGGGCCGAGTATGCTCTAGAGACGGACAGTTTTTGCCAGGGCCCAAGTTAGCTTGCATATAACCCATGCTCTATTTATAGTACATATTTATAGAGATTTTATTTGTAAATAATCAATGTAATATTAAGAATAAATGTAAAAAAGAAATGTAAATAATAACTAAAATCTCTATAAATAATACATGTTTTGTTCTTAAACATTGAAGAAACTCTGTGAAGCTTACTATGTGTTGGTATTTTGAGTCTCACATTTTTTTTTCCATCAGGAACTTAAGTCAGTGTTGTATGTAGCACACAAAAACAGTGTTATACCTGGTTCTTACCCATATCTGAACTTTTGGTTTTAAAGTATTTTTGAAAACATGGCAATGTGTTATACAGTACATTTATTTATATCAAAAATTACATTAAAGTTAACATACATTGAATGGTTGTTGATTCATTATTCCTTATGATAGTGTTACTCTATTATTTATTATTATTTATTTCAGATACTTATATAGCGCTGTCAATTTAAGCAGCACTTTACATATATATTGTACATTCACATCAGTCCCTAACCCATAAGGAGCATACAATCTAATGTTCCTAATTCACATTCAAACATACACATACTAGGGCCAATTTAGACAGGATCCAGTTAACCTACCAGCATTTATTTGGAGTGTGGGAGGAAACTGGAGTACCCAGATGAAACCCACACAGACACAGGGAAAACTTTCAAACTCCAGGCAGGTGGTGCTGTGGTTGGGATTCGAACCAACGACCCTAGTACTGCCATGCGGAACTCTAAATATATGTTTGTCAATAGGATCATTCATTCAATTGCTAAAGTCATAAATTATTTCCACATGTGTCTAAATTAAAAAAAAATCACTGAAAGGTCCACCTGCTTTAAAAGTGCTGTAAAAAACCAGGTTGACTTAATAACCTCCACCATAATAAGCGTGAAAAAACAAAAAAATAGCTGTAGGTGAAAAAGTTAATAAATATTCTTACCATTCTTACCAAAGCAAAGGAGTGAAACAGACAATATCAAGACCTTTGTCATAACTATGCACCCTATGGATATCTTGCTTCACCTTTTAACATATGTAGAATCTCAAATCTTTCATCCTTTGTGCCTGCAGAAGGGTACAGTATTGTTCAGCATTCTGGAGGTGGATAGCAGAGAGCGCATCACATAGAGGTTGGTGCAATGATAGGGTCTAATGGGGGACCTCTGGAGGCATAGAAGAGTAGTGGAGTATCCCATGTCTGTTGCTGGATATCTGTTGGGCACTGTGGGAGAGACGGTTTCTGCACAGAGAAGTCTAGTGGGTGTGTAAAGAACTTGTGGGTAACAGGAGGGAGTTGTGAGAGAGCTCTGTGAGAGGGCTGGTTTGGGGAGTTCCTGTGAGATGGTTTGCTGTGCATATAGGTGATAAGTTTATAGGTAACATAGTATACCAAATGAGCAGGAGAAGACCAGGATTGAGGTCCGCATCTACTCTACAACAGTACTGT